AAAAAAAAAAAAAATCTTACATTTATCTGGTACTTTAGTTTATTAAATAGTTTTATCATTTAAATTTGTTCAAACCAAACTTAATTTTTTTTTTTTTTTTGAGACAGCGTCTCAAGCTGTCACCCTGGGTAGAGTGCCGTGGTGTCATAGCTCATAGCAACCTCCAACTTGTGGGCTCAAGTGATCCTCTTGCCTTGATTTTTCTATTTTTAATAGAGATGAGTTCTTGCTTTTTTGCTCAGGCTGGTGTTGAACTCATGAGCTCAAGCCATCCACCCATCTTGGCCTCCCATGATGCTAGGATTACAGGTGTGAGCCACTGTGCCTAGCCCCAAACTCACTTTAAAGACATGGAAACTATGAACCAAAGTGTTTAAGTGACTTACTTAAGTCTATACAGTCAGTAAGTGGTAAACAGTGAAAAGTTAGCTATATGTCATTTTAAAAACTGTTTAGTTAAGTCTTCCTCTCTAGAATTTTTGAAATGCAAATGCAGAAATTCTGGGTTGGTGCCTATAGTTTTGGTGGCTAAGGTGCCAGCCAATATACCAGAGCTGGCAGGCTCGAATCCAGCCCTGGTCTGCCAAACAACGACAACTACAACCAAAAAATAGCTGGGCGTTGCAGTGGGCGCCTGTAGTCCCAGCTACTTGGGAGGTTGAGGCAAGAGAATTGCTTAAGCCCAAGAGTTGGAGGTTGCTGGGAGCTGTGGAAAAAAAAAAAGAAATTCTATTAATGGTATTTATTAACTGTATTATGCTTACACATCTTCAGAATCAGAAGGTCCCTCTTGAATGTGTTCATCTTCAATTTCATCTATTTCAAGATTGTCTTGAGGTCCATCTCCTACAACGGGGACATCTTTCAGGGTTCTGAACAACTTTGAGAGATCTGGAAGTGAACATGTCCTCAACATCTGAAAAAATGTCAATGGATCTTTTATTAAGAGTAAGAAAATTAAAAAAACAAAAATTAGAGCTAATGTTATTTTGTATGTATAATCATGCATATAGAACTAGAAGATTCAAAGGTGACTTGCACTGGGTTATGATAATTCTCTTGAATTTCAGCTCAGTATTTTTTCTTTCTTTCTTTCTTTTTTTTTTGATACAGAGTCTCACTTTGTTACCCTCGGTAGAGTACCATGGCATCATAGCTCATGGCAACCTCAAACTCCTGTGCTCAAGCAATTCTCTTGCCTCAGCCTCCCAAGTAGCTAGGACTAGAGAAGCCTACCCACAATGCCTGGCTATTTTTAAAGATAAGGTCTTGCTCTGGCTCAGGCTGGTCCTGAACCTGTAAACTCAGGCAATCCACCTGCCTCAGTCTCCCAGAGTGCTAGGATTACAGGCATGAGCCACTGCGCCCAGCCCAGGTCAGTATTTTTTACAGAGGAAACTAAATGTGTGAGTTATGCTTGGGTTTTAATGCAGGAACTCCCTTATATCTCTTTTAAACGATGGGGAGAGGTGTTTGTTTAGGTCTACATGTGGAACATGCTGGAAATCTGTCAGGAACTGAAGTGTGAAAAGTCGCCTATCGTCTCCTTACTTGCAGGTCATGTGACCCCTCTTTCCTAGTGTTTCTGCTAAGTGCTTCTCTGACCTTCCTGTGGCCAGCTTTCCCCACAAAGCACTGTCCAGTGCTGTGGAACAAGCATTTTGAAGGTGGTGCTGAGAGTCACTTGTACCAACATTAACAGCAAGGAGGAGGAACTGGGCCAACTGAGCTGAGGAAGAAACAACACATAGCTGAGGTGTTGAAATATGAGTCTGTGCTGGTAAGACAAGAGATAATAGGAACAGCCTCTGTCCATCAATCTTTCAACAATCAATGTGATGGACAGACAGGGCTCTGAAAGAAGTAACTAAATACATGATAATCTCTGGCAGTGGTTAACCCTGAAGGAACTCTGAGATCTGCTTATTCAAGACACCAAGAACCCTTACCAGATGGAAGACTGTGAGGGAAGCACAATGCTTAGCATGTTAATGAAAACTTACGTACTTGGCCAATGTTACTGGTACAATCTGTTTTTGAGAATGAAAAAGAAAGATTTCCTATACTTGAATATAATTTACATATTTATAGCACTCAAGGGAAAAAAATCATCATGAACTGTAAGTTGGAGAAACTGGTAAAAGCATACTGCTTGTTAAAGCACTTAATAAAATAGTACTGAAAGGATTTCACTGGCCAGACACAGTGGCTTAACACCTATAATCCCAGCATTCTAGGATGATGAGGCAGGTAGATCACCTAAGCTGAGGAGTTCAAGACCAGCCAGGGCAAAAGCAAGACCCCCCTATCTACTAAAAATAGAAAAACTAGCTGGGCATGGTGGTAAATGCCTGTAGTTCCAGCTACTCGGGAGGCTGAGGCAAGAGGATTGCTCAAGCCTAAGAGTTTGAGGTTACTGTGAGCTATGATGACACCATGACCCTCTACCCAGGGTGACAGAGTAAGATTCTGTCTCAAAAGAAAAAAAAGTATTTCTGGCTCAGTGCCCACAGCACAGTGGTTATGGCACCAGCCACATACACTGAGGGTGGTGGGTTCAAACCCAGCCCAGGCCAACTAAACAACCCAACTAAAAAATAGCTGGGCGTTGTGGCAGGCGCCTATAGTCCCAGCTACTTGGGAGGCTGAGGCAAGAGAATCGCTTAAGCTTGAGAGTTTAAGGTTGTTGTGAGCTGTGACGTGACACAGTGACTCTGTCTTAAAAAAAAAATAAAAAAGTATTTCCTTTGTTGAATTTCCTACTTTACAGAATTTACACTTTACTTTCTTTTGTAGAATTTACACTTTACTTGTTTATTATTTTAATACTTTGGACCATGTACATGTGTGTTACAAACCAGCAGTCTGTACTAGTATAAGTTTCCTTAGGTACCTACTAATCAATAAACAGCACATATGCATTATAGACTTACATTTGAGGGGACAATGAAAAAGAATACAATATTGTTTAGGTTCAGATTAATTTTAGCTGGCCCTGGTAAAATAACTTCAGGTCTAGTTTATTTCTTTCGGTAACTAAAATAATTGTGACAATCTAGAATAAAACAATACAGTTAGAAAGAAAGTTTAGGCAGTCGTGCAATTTGACAGCTTACCACTTGGAACAGGTTTATATCCAAATTCATGCTACCAACTGATAAACCCTTAATGCTCTTTCACAGATCCCCTGGATACATTGCTAAGTGTTAAGTAAAATATTCATCCTCAGTCAAAATAAATTTGTAAACACCTTTCAGTTATTATATAATTCTGAGTCTACTAATTTTTTTCATGTGGTTTAAAAAATATTCTAGGCCAGGTGCAGTGGATCACACTTACAATCCTAGTACTTGGCAGGCTGAGGTGGGTGGACTGCTTAAGCTCAGGGGTTTGAGACAAGCCTGATCAAGAGTAACACTCTGTCTCTAAAAATAGCCCGACCCTGTGGGGTCTCTTGCTCTGGCTGGTCTTGAAAAATAGCTGTGATGGACTTGTGTAGTTCAGGCTACTTGGGAGGCTGAGGCAAGAGAATCACTTGAGCCTAAGAGTTTGAGGTTGCTGTGAGCCATGATGCCAACATAGAGTGCCACAAAGTGAGATTCTGTCTCAAAAAAAAAGAATTCTGTATTTTTAACATCTATAGAAATTTTGAACATGTTTCCTGAGATCTTACTTTACTTATCTGTAGTTATTTTTCCAAGAGTCTCTACAAAATGAAAATTTATGCAACTCACATTTGATACCATTATAAAATGAAACAAGAGAGAATTATTTTAGAAAATTTGAAAATATCTTCTTAAAATGTATGTTTTCTTTAGTTTTTGTTGTTGGTTAGTTCTATTTTTCTCAAAAACTAAAAAGAACCAGCTCGGCGCCTGTGGCTTAAGTGGCTAAGGCGCCAGCCACATACACCTAAGGTGGCAGGTTCGAATCCAGCGCAGGCCCGCCAAACAACAATGACAGCTGCAACCAAAAAATAGCCGGGTGTTGTGGCGGGTGCCTGTGGTCCCAGCTACTTGGGAGGCTGAGGCAGGAGAGTCACTTGAG